AAACTGCCTTGTTTTACATGGTTTCAATACCAACCTTATACCTCTGTTCAATACCAACCCCACCCTCTGTTGCCATAGCTTCTGTGTTTATTCCTTAAATTCCTTAATTCTTTTCTTCTGCCAACTGCTCCAACTCTCATCTCCTTTGGTTATTAAAAGAGCTCTTTTGTTAGCCATCTTTCTTCTCTGTTCCCAAACTAGCATCATTAGCATCACCTAATAGCTTATTAGAAATGCAAATTCTCAGGCCTCATCCCAGTTCTCTTGATTCAGAAACTCTGAGGGTGAGCCCAGAAATCTGTCTTAGCAAACCCTTCATGCCATGTGATGCACATTAAATTTTGAAAACAACTGGTCTAAGTATTACAGGACTTTGAATCTTGATATACAATGACAAATTTTAGAAATTAAAAAAAAAAAACACAACAAAAAAGCAAGCAAACTTTCCTCAAGATCTTGGCTCTTAGAAATCATAAATGCTTCGCTATCAAATTATTTGTATTCATCTGCTCAGGCTGCCATTAACAAAGTACCATAAACTGGTGGCCTAAAGAACAGAAAAATTTATTGTCCACAGTTCTGGAGGCTAGAAGTCCAAAATGAAGGTGTCAGAAGAGTTGGTTTCTTCTGAGGGTTATGAGGGAGAATCTGTACCATGCCTCTCTCAGCTCATGATGGTTTATTGGTGATCTTTGGCATTCCTTGGCTTGGGGCAGTGTAATTCCAGTCTTCACATGGTGTTCTCCCTATGCCTATGTCCAAATTTCCCTGTTTTATAAAAAAGATGTAAGTTGTGTTGGTTTAAGGTCTACACTAATGACCCCATTTTATCTTCATTAGCTCTGTAAAGACTGTATTTCCAAATAAGGTCACATTCTGAGGTTCTGGAGGTTAGGACCCCAACATCTTTTTTTTTGGTGGGACACAATTCAACTCACAACATGATTGTCTATTTTTTGTCCTGGGTTATATCCAGTCCCCGACAGATGCAGTGGCAACTACAGCTGAATGGTTGAAGGGCAATAAAACACTGAGAAAAAAATTAAAAGAATATCAATTAGTATGTTGCAAAAAATAGTTTAAATAGGGGAGCTTGGGTGGCTCAGTCTGTTAAGCTTCTGCCTTCGGCTCAGGTCATGATCCCAGGGTCCTGGAATGGAGCCCCACATCTGGCTCCCTGCTCAGTGGAGAGCCTGCTTCTCCCTCTCCCACTCCCCCTACTTGTGCTCTCTTTCTCTCTCTCTGTCAAATAAATAAATAAAATCTTAAAAAAAATAGTTTAAACAGAGGTGGAAAGACCAGGAGCTCCATTCATTGTAAATTCTAAGGCTTATTGTATTGGTCTGCTCAGGCTGCTCAGACTGAGTAGCTTAAACAACAGAAAGTTATTTCCTCACAGTTTTGGGGGTGGAAGTCTAAGATCAAAGTGCCAGCACTGTCAGGTTCTGATGAGAGTGCTCCCCTTGGGTTGCAGAAGTCCACCTTCTTGCTGTGCCCACATGACCTCTTCCTGGTTAGGATAAGAGCGAGCTCTCTGTCTCAAGGACACTAATCCCATCATGAGGACCACACCCTCATGACCTCATCTAACCCTAATTACCTCCAGAGGCTCCACCTCCTAATATCATCACCTTGGGAGTTAGGACTTCCCTATATGAATTTTGGAACATTCCGTCCATAACACGTACCCAGAGAGATTCTGATTTATTTCACCTGGAGTAGAGCAGTCCACCTAAATTTTTAGAACTTCACAGGTAATTGTGATGCACAGCTAGTGTTTAAACTTTTGTCCTAGCTCTTCATTTCTATGGAAAAGGGAGTAATTTAAGTAAGACATAACACTAGTCAAGCTATAACATCTTACTTTACCATTCTGATTGTTTTTGTATATCTTGTCAGCCCACCTCTTCAGTAAGCACCTGAAGAAAGTCACCCCATTTCTACTTGTTAAGTTCTTAACAAATATAAGCTGATTGACCAAATAAAATCTTGGATTCTTTACTTCAACCCCTTTGCTTCAACAACTATACAAATAAAAAATCAATACATGTAAGTAATTAATTCTCTTCTGTGATAGAGAAATGCAAGGAACATATGTTGGAAATTTTACTGTGTCTAACCTCAGAGTCTAGGTAGGGTCTGAGCCTGGCCTGGCCAGGTAATAGAGACACTGAAAGGCAAACACAGCCTATAAGCTTCTAGTTAGTAATTAGTTTCTCTGTTCCCTATGTCTCTTTATACTCTGGCTGGTTAGTAAAACAACTCTAATGTAATAGGTCAAAGCTTATTCAAGTGTTGCTGTGAAGTGTATTAGGATTGCAAAAAGGATCCAAGAGATTTCTTTTCTGCACAGCTAAGTTATAGATGGAAAGTTAGGGAGGGCATTCTCAAACTCCTGTACCTCCCCACCCCCATTTTCATCCTTTATTTAAAAAGAAAAAAAAGTATTTGCAATGTCAGGATTGCAGAAAATGTATTATAAAAATAATGATCTGAAAGTCATAGTCTCCTCTCCCCGATCTCCTGCCATCAAATCAGAGTAAAACCACTTACATGCTACTAAGTTCTGGAAAATAACAGTTTCCTATCTGTCCACCTATTACAGGATTTTCATATTAAGCCCAAAACACCCTGATTTGTTTGGAGAGATAAATTTCACCCCCAGCATTTCTTTAATAATCCTTTTATACTTTCTTCTTATCTCTCTTCTTGCTGCTATTGTTTGATAGTGCCACTTAAACAGGTCTTTCCACAAGGTTGCTCAAATTAAACATTAGCCAGCTCTAATAAGCAGCTACAGAAAACTACTGACGGTATCTAGCAAGATAAACATCCACACACCAAACTTTGAGATTTCTTTATTTCTAACCTGATTGTCTGAAGGGAATGTTCTTTAAAGACCACCTGACTTGCTTACTGTTGTATTTTCAGATATTAGGTCCTCTAGTGCCAAGTGGACCACGTGGCATTGATAATTGGCTAGATTTCACTTTATTTTGATGGTAGGAAATTTGATATTTGTGTGGTCTCTGCTGGGGTTCAAGAGACCGAAGCTCTACATGTAGAGATCCATTACTTTGAATTAAACAATAGCAAATATTAAAGAAACAATTTATCCTTTATCTATGATTCTCTAGGTAAGGCAAACAAAGAAACAAATCTGAAAAACAAACAAACAACAACAATAAAGAACTTTGTGACTCATACCTAAGCGACAATTAGTTTATCAAAGATGGTCCTCTTGCAGAAAACTCAGATAAGCTAAGAACCCTGGATACATATGTGGTGGGGGACTGGGTAGTACAAAGGGAAGAAAGGGCCTAGAAAAAAAAGGGCCTTATAGGTGGGAGGTATCACAGGAGAACTTGCGCTACTTCATATATAATCTGGGGCAGGAATCTGCTCTTCACTGTTCTTGTGGAATAGTGGACTGAGGACAAACTTCAGGTTCAGACATGCTTCTGGGAGAGTTCACTCTCCCCATTACTACTTTGGTAATGAGGATGGTATTGAACTTCATTAAGCTCAGTCTCATCATCTCTAAAAGATTCATAATAACATATATCTGTATGTGTTGTTAGGAAGATAATGTGAAGTATTGTTTATAAAATATCTGGCTTGTATAGAAATGAAAGAAACACTAGCCTGCATCCAGCATATCAATCCCCTTGGCCTCACCTCCTATTTAGTTTCTTTGCCTTTTCTCTAGTCCCAGCAACACAGGGTGAAAAAATGTATCTGATAACTGGTAGCTGAATGGTTGACTCGCTTGTTTTCTCTCTACCTGTTCTCTCCACTTTCCTCAAAGAACATAAGTACTTTGACTGGGCTTTGTTTATATGGTACTGGAAATTTTCAACAAAAACACTTTTAATATGAAATCCTACTGGGAATTCCACAGCTTAGTTTTCTGTAATATACATATGTTGATCCCCAAAAGACTCCTAGAAAACCCATCAGAAGAAAAGCAGGTGCCCCTAGATTTTACTGTATTATATAGTGCAGAATAATAATATATCATTAAAAAAAGAAAACCGGCCCAAAATGGCATCTCTTAGGCCCAAATCAGCAAACCTGGAATTAATGTCTAACTTAACTGCAGTTTCAGCCTCCCCCCAAAGTACAGTCTTAACTGGTCAGTCAGGAATTTTCTGGTAAGTATCAATGAGGTTATCTGTCACTTGGGACCCTCCATCTCCCAAAGGAAGATGAGGTAATCTGCATGATAAGACCCTCTTTTCCCCATAAAAGATAGTTTGCCTGAAGGTATCCTTTCTTTTATTTTGCAAATAACTTCCTTGCCCCCTCACCCCTTCCTTGTAATTTTGTATTGCTCCTTGGAGTTTCCCTCTATGTGTTAGAGGGGATGTTGCCCTATTCGTGAATCTCTTAATAAAGCCTGTTAGATCTTCAAATATACTCAGTTGAACTTTGTTCTTTAACATTATTACTGTTACTATGATAGAAGATAAAATAGTAATTTATTATTGTATAGTGTTATATGTTAATACTATTATTTAATATTTTGTTATATATACATATATATTAATCTAAGCTTACTATGTATTCCACTGGAATACATGGTGAAGTAGTCTTCACAATGGGTGGCAGAAAATGTGGGAAAAAAATGCTAAATCAGTAGCAACATCCTGTTCACGGGTAATCAGTTTTCAAGTAATGTGGAATTCAGGAAGAAATAAATGTTGGGGATTGGCGTGTGTGGGGGTGTGTGTAAAATAAGGGCAAGTAGAAGAAAGAAGAGAGCAAATTCTGAAGGCTTCCAGTTGCTAAGAATCAATCTATGTGCCTCCTGCAACCCTCCAGGGTGACTGCCTAGGTGAGAGCAGAGAATATTTTCTTTTTATCTTTCAATCACTGCCTTTGTAGGTATAAAATAAGAATATCGATTACTGGAAGGTGATAATGGTTTCTCAGTCAAAATGTTATTTGTTGTTGGACTTCATTTCCCTGTCTCTTGATTTTTATGTCACTCTCCCCAGGTCTTCAATCTTCTTTAGATGTGGTCAATGTACTGGCAGGTCCCAGGAAGATGCGATGGTTGGACATTCGTGGAAGAGACCCAGACTCACCAGGGGGATATCCTTCCAGTATTCCCAGCTCCCTCCTGCTCTCTATTCTTGATATAAAAGAATAATTTTGCTTTTTAGTTCTTGACATTATCATCAATTAGTATAGTGTGTGTCCCTCTCCTGAAGTTCACCTTGTTGATAATCACAGACAAGAGAGAGAAGCATTGAAATATACAAAAACAAAAGCAACTTTAAAAATGTGAAAAACCTTGGGGAGATAGAAAGCAGTTTTAACTGATGGAAGTAGCAAATGGCAGACTAGGGTGGGGGAAGCCCCAGTGTCATCCATAAGGAAGGAATATAAATATAACCTAAAAGCAGTGTCTTCCATATGCAAGGAATACAAATATGAATTAAAAGAAAAAATTCAACATAAAGCATAAATAGCAAAAGATATCCAGCCAAAAGGGATTGTGGACCTAGAGTATAGTTTTGTGATGTTATCACAAGACAACAGGAAGGGATAGAGAGATGAAAAGTAAAATAAATAATAAATAAATAAATAAATAAATAAGAGTTGGAGGATATGGAATATAGATTAGCAGTTTTAACTTTTTTATAATACTCCTTAAAGGTAAGGAAGGTCATAAATGGAGGAGAAAACATATTTTAGGAAGTAGGGGCTAAGCATTTCCAAGAGTAAGAGAATAATTGAAGAGCTCAACTGGCAAGGGATTACAGAGTGCCAAATAATTAGATGAGAGAAACCCACAGGTACACAATTCATGGTGAATGCTAAGAATTAAAAAAATGGCAAAAGTAATATGGTAAAACTTCCTAGACAAAAAAAAAAAAAAAAAGTGAATCATTGAACATTAACCTTCTCAACAGTGGTACAAGGAAAAAATAATGGGGTAATGTTTTCAAAGTGTTGAAAAAAATCAAAGTTAAAATTTTTTAATAAGCTCAGAGATTATTTTAATATACATAAACAAATAAAGCTATTTTCAGCCCTCATAAGGTTTACCTCACATAACCCTCCTTGAGAATATTTTTGGAAGAAGTACTTAGATAAGATAAATCCTAGAGGAGATTTTATATATATACATATATGACATTAAGGATGAATAAATAGTTCAATCAAGTTTATTATTTAAAGAAGCAAGGAGCCTGTATGGGAGAAGATATAGTTATTAATAAGTTTAAAATGATACAATAGTGGATATTTATAAGTTAGTCACAATTAAATAAAGACTAAAAATAGAATATATAAATAAGAAATCATAAAAAATTAAAACATACCATACTTAGCTCTTAGTGACAATGTAAATTCATTTCTAAGAGGTAAATTAATATGTATCTGATGTGAATAGTTGGAAAAAACAAACAAAAGAAGAAAACCAATGAAGCAAGATGAGAGTCTATTATAATCTTAGCTGGGTCTAGAGAAGAGCATAGGCATGTAGCCTCCATAAAAACAACGGATTTTTCTGCTCTATTCACTACTATTATCAGAGTTCTTATAACAATGCCTAGAACATTACAGGTGCTCAATAAATATTTAATAAATGAAAGAATAAATAAACAACAACTTGGAGAAAATATTACCAAAAATGTGTGTATGTGTATTTAAAGGATCCATATGATAAAGATATCTCTGGTAAGAGTGATCTAGGAAAAAAATAAAAGAGTATACAAACCAACAAAATATAGAATGAAAAAGATGTAATAAATATATATACACAAGAACTTCAAAAATAATAAAAATTTATTATAACAGCTACACAGTAATGCATTTGAAAACATAGGGAGAAGAGAAAAATTTGTACAAAAGTATAAAAAGCCAGAATAAGAGCAAGGAGAATAAAAACCTGAATAGACCAATAACCATTAGAGAAATTGAAATGGTAATTTCAGGCTCTTCTCCAAAGATGCCTCAGGTCCAAAGAGCTTCATAGCTGAGTTCTCCCATACTTTCAAGGGATAGATGCTTCCCATTTTATAAAAGACTTTCCAGAAAACCATAAAAAAAAGAGAGAGAGAGAGAGATACTCACGTTTTTATGAGGCTAGTATAATATTGATTTCTAAATTGGATAAGTAGAATACAAAATAAGGCATTTATAGATCCATTTTATCTTTAACCACATAAAGAACTAATCATACAACTATTTTAATAGGTACAAAAAATTCATTTACTAAATTTCAATGTCTATTTTTGACATAGACCCAGAAAATCACTGCTAGAATGAAACTTCCCTAACTTAATAAAAGCCATATAATTAAAACCTACAATTTCTTATTTAATGGAAAAACTTGAGCCACATTCCTTCAGGTTTATGAATAAGATAATGTTGTCTTTTATAACCATTCTTGTTTAACACAGGACTAGATTTCCTAACTAATGCTATGAGAAAAAAAGAGGAAATAAGAAATGCAAAGATTAGAAGAGTATAAATACGGTTTAGGATTTAGGTAAGATAATGATCTATATAGAAAATCCAGCTCCTAAGATAAAATATTAGACTTACCTGAGTAGTCTATTAAGTTATCTGATACATGATCAATTTATAAAAATCAATTGGGTCCCCTCCTGGCTAACAATATTTATCTAGAAAATATTTAAAATATATAGTATTCAAGTAACAATAAAAAAACAATAAATGAAGTATTCAGGAAATAATTTCATAAAAATTGCAAATTACTTTTACAAAGAAAAAACTTAAAATCTATTAATTGGCCTAAAAAAAATCTAAAACTAGTAGAAAGATTACAATATGCTCCTACATGACTGACTTTAATTTATAAAGAGGCAAATAGTTTCCAAAATTCATCAATTGGTTAGATATAATACTAAAAAGAATTCAACTTAATACTTTCACAAAATTGAAAGATCTATTCCAAAATTTAAAACAAAGATGAAAGTGCTATAGGTAGTGTTTTTAAAAAGAAGAGCTGTAAAAGAGAACTCCTTCTGGAAAGATATATTACAAAGCCATAGTTAAAAAAATAGAAAAGAAAAAAGATATGAACAATTTGACACAAATACGAGACAGATAGCTAAAGGACAGAAAAAAGTTTAAAATAAGTCCCATTTAAATATTATGATTTGATTTAAATCATTGAGGAAGGAAAACTTGCTCAATTTACAGGGGAGGAGGAAGAAACATTGATCTCTTTCTTACACCATGTAAAGAGAGCCCTCATCCCATCCCACAGATGGTTTAGCACTTAAATGTGAAAGATAAATTTATAAAGCTTTTAGATCAAAAATAGGAGAAAGCATTGTTCCTGGGAGTGATGAAGAACTTCTTAAACAAGATGGTAAAAGCAAAACATAAGGAGAAAAATTGGTAATTAGGACTACTTAAAAATTAAGGATTTCTACTTAATGAAGGAGACCATTGATAAAGTGAATGGAAGATAATGAACTGGGAAAAAGTTGTTTGAAACATCAAAAGCCAATGTAAGATTAATATTGAAAAGAAAGGAACCTATACAAGTTTAGGAGAAAAGATAGGGAAAACTAACTGATTTAAAAAATAGTTAAAAGATGTGAATAAGGAATTAACAGAAATGAAAATCAATAAATCACTATCAGTAGTACTAGTATTAAAATCCTTACTATTATTAATAAAATTGCTGGCCTGGAGAAGCAGAAGACCTCAATGGGACGTAGCATAGTAACTTTGAGAATAACATAGAGTTAGGGATTGCAGGGATACAACTGTCCCTAGAAAGCTGTGCAGACTATTTTTTGCCTCTGTGCAGCTGAGGTTTCAGATACCTCTTCTTGGAGCTAGAATTGAATAATAAGAAAATGACAAATTATAATTAATAACCAAGAAGACAGCCCTCATGGCTCTTTGTGAGACATTTTCTGGGATTTTTCAGAAAAGCTCAGTGATAAATTGGGAGGAGATCTTAAGAAAAAGTGTAGAGGCATTGCAATAACCTACAGGGGAAACAGCCAAATGAATGTCATTTGGGGCTGTAATAAACTACCTTTTTACACATCATATTTAACCTGGAAAAATCTAAGGTCCACTAGTGCTAATGCTAGATGCTAATTCTATAAAGGGAAATAAAGCATCATCACCACCCTCTCAGTACAGCTTGGTGCTAGTAAAGGAGTAAAGGAAATCGCTGTCTTAAGAACTTAATTAAATTATTGTTATTTTTTTGCCTCTTGTATTAGTACATATTTTATTCTCATTTAACATAGCTAATTTTCAGAACCCTCATATCCTCGAATTGACAGGAACCTTAAATTGCCCCAGCCTTCACCTATTAATGATGCTTTTACTGATTTAAACTGATTTATTTTTAAACTGATTATATTTTATAACATAAAATATAACTCATCCAAAGTCCAGCTGTTAATGGTTACCTAAGTTTATAAGCTGATCTTAAAATTCTTGCAGAAATGCAAAGCACCTAGAATAGCCAAAAAATCTTGAAAAAGAACAAGGTTGAAGGACTCATACTTCCCAATTTCAAAACAGATTACAAAGTTATAATAATCAAAACAGTACAGCACTGACATACAGATAGACATAAACCCATGTATATTTGGTCAATTGATTCTTGAAAAAGGTACCAATGAAATTCAGTGGGGGAAAGAACAGTGTTTTCAGCAAATGGAGTATGGAGTGACTAGATAGTTACATGCAAAAGAACATAGCTGAAAACTTACCTCATGTCATACATAAAAATTAACTCAAAACGAATCATAGACCTAAATGTAATAGCTAAGACTATAAAACTCATAGAAGAAAACATAAAAGTAAATCTTTATAACCTTGGGTTAGACAATGGTTTCTTAAACAAGGCACCAAAAGTACAAGTGACAAGAGAAAAAATAGATAAATTGGTAAATTTAAAAACACTTGTGCTCAAATGATACCACCAAGAAAGTGAGAAGACATCTCACAGAATAGGTAAAAAATACTTTCAAATCATATTTCCAATAAGGGACTTTTGTTAAGAGTATATGAAGTACTCTTACAGTTCAATAATAAGAGGACAAACCAATTTAAAAATGGGCTAAAATTTGAATAGATATTTCTCCAAAAAAGATACACAAATAGCCAATAAGCACATGAGAAGATATACAAACATCAATAGTCTCTAGGGAA